AATTTAATTGCAGCTTTAAACCTGTGCGTATTACTTTAGGAGAGGACTACTGATAACCTGCAAATGAAAAAAAATGTGTAAAACAAACAAGTATAGGACAGCTAAGACTCCTGTGATTCATGAAGTATTACAAGTATTATCCTCATGCTTTTAAACAGTTAAACTATTAAAACATTTGAAAGAAAGCCCGTTTAGGAAGACTAAGCTGAAATCACGTTGTCCGGTCTTTTTTTAAAAACAGGCTTAAAAAAAGAAACGGCTGTAGGAGTTTCTGAACCGGGAAATTCTGTTTTGGAAATGAAATCCTGGTTAGGAATCCTTTGTACTAACAATAAGAAATGAAAAGTTACCTGAGGAGGGTACTGGTCTAAGGAAAGAAGAAATACAAGCAAAAAGCAGTGTGTGAAGAAAGACAACCTGAAAAAGCTTCAAGTACAACTGGACGTTATTTCTGGAATAGGCTTCCACTCCACTAATTTAGACTCTTCATGAGCACAGACAGTAACAGTTGTTTGGGATCGATCAACACACATAAAAAAGGTGAGTTAAAACAACCACATAGTGGTAAATAATTCCTCAAGGAGAGGACTTGAACCAAAAGACAGAGTTGTGAAGCAGAAGGTTTCCTGGAGAGCTGTGGAGGCAGATGTAATTGTACCATGAAGCAAGAAATCCATCCCTGCTTGTGTCGCTTACTTCATTGACTTCGTTATCGGCAAAGAACAATGAATTTGGCGCTGTGGCATATCATAAAGAGCAATAATGGATGTAGGGATTAGCTTGCTATTGAATTAAGACAGTGAGTTCTCTCCTGGGGCCGCATACTTGAGGGACACTGCCATCACCGTCTGGTGACTCATAGCGTTGTGGGAATCCCTTTGTTACTGGGGTTTTGGTTTTCAGGTCTGGACTCCCTTGTGTGGGCGAGCAATGTGACTTTCCCCCCGCTGTTGTGGGGGAATCTCTTCTCTGTTGGGTGAAAGCTGCAGCACCAACTTTCCATTCTCAGCCTTATGGGCTGCAATTCCCTGGTGAGTACTTACTTTGGCCAGAACAGCATCACCTCGCGTTACGTTCTCAGTTAAAATCCATTTACTCTGAACTGCTGAAAGAAGTTACTGACATGCAACTTCTATCATTAGGATTTATCAATATGGCACGGAGACTCCACGCTGCAGATATGGATTAGGTATTCCCTTTGGTAGTACCTCAGTGGGCATTAAACTGTCAAGTGTCAGGACTTACGCTCTCAGAGCCGAGCACCTGTCCTGTGGCTGCAGCAGGAGCACCCCAGAACGCTGTTACAAGAACATTCCCAACAGACTTCCATTTTTTTCCACATTACGTTCCCCACTTCCCCAAAAATTTTGCGAGGTTAAGTGTCCATGGACCCGTTAAAGAAGTTGCATTTCTTTGTTTAGCTAGATAACCTGACCTTCGTCACTCCAATTAGCGTCCGTAGCAAATTTCCTTTAAAATCCTTCACTTCCAAATGGGAACCGCTTTTGGGCATATTGCAGCTGTTACTCACAGGAGGACTGCAGCAGGTGTGCTATTATCCTTAGCTATTAATCACTAACATTTAAAATTAAGGTTCTTCTCCTCTTCACCTCAGGTTTTAGTCACTGAGCTTAGATATTGGAGGCAAATATAGCTTCCAGATGCTGCCTCACTGCCAGCTGTGGCTAGTCCACCTTGGCAGACCCCATCAGCTGGGCGAACTACAAGATGCTCCTCTGCCAAAACAGCAGTGAGTCGCTCGGAAGTTCAACCTGCCAACTCCCGCTATCCTGGCAAGCATCGTTACCCCGTCTTAAATATTTTATTAATTAGTCTACTCCAACAACTGAGACAATCTGTGTCAAAGAATACTGGCAGTTTAGTTCTCTACACGAGGGTAGGAGGTCACTGTGGAAAGGTAAGCGGAGTGAATTCCTGCTTGAGTTTCCAACCTGGTTTACCTTGGAAATGCACAGCTCTGTCACGCTATGCTCAGTGACCCTAAGAGAGTAATGCAGGATTTGGCCTTTCCCATGTTTCATGTCAAATTAGAACATTCTTGATACATTCTGGGCACTCCAAAACAGGCATGTCTTGGCAATTTCTTTTTGATGTATAAACTTTCCTGAAGGATGGCTGAATTTGAGTGTTTCCTGGATACTTCACACGGCCTGCACTAGCCAAATTAGAGGCCGAGCCTCAGCAGCTCCAATTCAGTTTAACTCAAGCATCCAGAAGAGGCTGGGCCATGAGCACAGAGCTGGACGGGGTCCTTGGGGAAGAGCTGGGTCCGCAGGCCTGGGCGAACCAGGAACTACAGGAATTCCTTGCATACGGCTTGGCTACTGCAGCCTGTCAGGGCTTCCTGAACGCTGCCACACACTGCCAGTCCCCGCTGCCTGTGACCCAAACTTGGCACCCCTGTGTCTATGCAGAGAAAAGAGAGATGGTGGAAGCACAGGGTTCAGAAAAGACAACTGTGGCCTGGATGTCCTGGCATGGAAAATAGACACGTGGAGCTAGCCAAAAGTAGACTTTGGGTTTAATAAACTTAATTATTTCAAGCAAGGATCTTTGTGCCTTTAAATATATTTTATGTGTAATTTATTGCATTTATTACGGGAAGTTCCATATTAATTCTCTGTTCAAATGCGTTGCTTTAACGCAGCGCCTCAGGGTGTACATTACGCATGGTTGAGTTTGCATTTTTCATCCACTGGATGTAGGAAAAGACACATCTCCAGTGCAAAAGTCAGCATCCTTCCCCTGAGTCGAAGGCCAGGCCTCACACAGCCTGTAAGAATGTTTTGTAAATGTGGGCAAAACAGTATCTTTTTCATCTAGTTCAGAGAAGACCAAACTGCTCCAGCTTGCTGCATTCTGTTCTCTTTAGTTCATCCTGAAACAGGTGCCCTGTGTGGAAAACTTTTGCCTTGACATGAGACACCGTGAACGCTACAAACAGCCCAAAGCAGCGCCAGGGCCGAGCTGTCAGCGAGAGGACAGCCGTGCCCAGACAGTGCTGTGGAGGGGTTACCTGGAGCTCGGCCGTCCATGTCGTCCATGCACTCCTTGTAGTTCTTTGCAATCAGGGAGTAGAGATGCGCTAAACTTGGGTTCTTCCCAGCAGCGACCAGGGCTTCGGCCGTGGCCAAGTGCATGACCGTATCATCGCTGACCCTCCATCCCCGGATGCTGAAGTTGCCGAGCCCCCCCATCTCGGCCAGCTCCCGGTGGATGGCGGGGCCGCTCTGCAGGAACTCCCACCGCCCGTTGCGGTAGCCCAGCGTGTCACCCACCGCGCTCAGCACCATCGACGCCACGTAGTTTTCCATCGCCTTAGGACACGATGTTTGCCCCAGGACCACTTCCATGCAGAAAACGCTATGAAAATAAAACAAAACAAAACAAAGCAGAGGGAGACTGAAAATAAGATCTTCCCCAGTTCAGCCTCCAGCGCCCAGCCCCAGCAGGGCTGAAGAAACGCGTGCGGGCCATGCAGCCGTGCGCTCGCCCGCCATCTCGCCG